AATTAAATGAGATTTTAAGAAGGTGTCGCGTCCGCGTAGTAACAGAGTCAAATACGGGCAAAAGAAACGCTTGAAATCGCCCTGATACGAAAGAAAAGAGAAGACATTTCAAAGCCCCGACAAGCCTTAATTTAAATTTTTTATTTAATTATAAAATTAATTGCTAATGTTACTGTATTTACATTTTTCTAGAAGTTGTAACTCGCGTTTGGACTGGCAGAGAAGAGGGATTTGCCCGTTTAGTAAAGACGTGTTAAAATGATTATAATTTATAACTTAATAGTATTATATTAATTTTAAGGGTTTTTGGTAACACTCACGGGTTTTGAATTTTCTGTTTAAATATTTATAAAAATTTTAAAAAATTTAAAATAAAAATTTGTTTTGATAAATTTTTTGATTTATGCATCAAGTGGTCTCAGTTTATAAATTCATCAAAAATAAAAACATAAAAAATGTGTTTTCACATTTGATTTTCAGTTTTTTTTATTTTTTACTCCAACACCATACTACCACCACCCGCTACTATTGTTCCACACCGTCTTCCCCCGCACCACCAACTACCCCCACCCACCTACCACGCACCACTACCCACCCACCTGCCTCCACTACCGCCACACCCACGCATCAACCACTACCATTCCACCGCCAGCGCACCAACCACACTACTTGCACAACCACTCACCACCCACTACACCACCACCTCCCACCACCTGCTACACCAGCACCCCACGCACCACTAGCCACCTGCCACTCACCCGCGCCCACACCCCCACCACCACCATCACCACACTATCACCACCATCACCCCCGTCACCCACCTCGCCACACCACCGCCACCACCACCCACTCGTTACACCTACCACCCACCACGTCACACCACGCCACCACCACCACCATTCGCCACCCCACCTACCACCACCACCCGCCACCCGCATCCACCTGCACCACCACCCCCACTCAGCCGCGCCACACACTATCAATCCGCCACTGTACACCCACCGCACCACACCCACCGCCATCCTCGCATCCGCATCACCTGCCACCACCACCAATGCTGTGACCACCCACGACACGAAACACGTCACCCATCCACTCACCACCACTACCCCACTCGCTACCACCGGCACCGTCAAACATCCACTCAACCACCAACACCCGCCACACCACTCGCTACCACCCACCACCAACCACCGTCACCCACCCATCCACCACCACCACCCACCACGACCAGCTACCCACCACCCACCGTCACCACTTTCCACCACCGTCTTCCCCCGCCACTTGCCACCACTCGCCATTTCTCACTCTTTTTTATATTTTAATTTTTTTTTAAACATTTTGTCAATTATCAAACGCGTTTGTAGTTTATGTTTTTCTAAAAATAAACAAAAATCAGTTTATAAAATTTTTGTAAATATAAACTGAAAATATAAACGTTACCAAACACACCCTAAGTGTGAATATAAATTGATTTTTGATTTATAAATTAAGTTTCTCCTCCTTACTCAAATAATAAGTTGATTTTTGATTTACAAAAACTTTAAGTAGTATTATTAAGCTGAACCAAACACATCAAAATAATTTAAATTAACCTAAAAGCTAAAAATAAGCCCTACCAAACAGGATCATTGTCGGGACAAGGGGTGTTTTGGTAATTTAACGTGCCTATCAAATCTGAATTGGCAATTAAAAAAATAATAATTTTAAAATATTACTATTTAAAATCAAAAATTATACTTGAGTTTTAAACTTAGTGATGTAACAATCAATTAGAATATTAAAAACAACTCTCTCTCTCATATTTTTGTTAATCATTTACCAATCATATGATCCCATTTTATGGAACAATAATGATTCATCCCCCCTTTTCCCCCACCCCCTTTGACCCCTCTCTCTCTCTCATTGGTTATTTTTTCTTTTTCTTTTTCTTTTTTTTCCTACTCCTCCAATCACCACCCGCCACGTGGCAAAGGGGGGGTGAGGGGGTGACCCCCAAAAAGGGGTCCCAAGTATTATTCTTTATGGAACTTGCACTATGTTTGGGAACCTAGGGGAGGAAAAAAAAATTACTTAAGTTATAAGATAAATGAAAAGAAATGATTGTAATTTTTCTCATTTTTGTTTGGATAACTAAGAAATAAAATAAAATAAACAATAATGCTAGAGGGTCACAATTTTTGTGGCCACAATGGCTCAAAACTGTCAAAACGACGTTGTTTTGACATGTTTTGCACCCAAAACGACGTCGTTTTGACAGTTTTGAGTCATTGTGGCCCTCAAACATTTTCCTAAAACAAATGATTGTGATTTCTCTCATTCTTATTTAGTTAGATTTCATTAAGAGAAAAGAAAAGAAAATAAATTATTTTACGTTATATTACCAAAATAACATTTTTATATTTTCAATCATTTTATTTCTTTTATTTTTATAGGGACAAAATTGGTATTATGAAATTAGTGGTTTATTTTTTTTCACAATCTCTCCACTTTTGGGAAGATTGAAAATGAGACTTATAATCTCTCTATTTCTTCCCATTTCTCTCCACTTAGGTTATCCAAACAAGTAAGAGAAATACATATCTCTTCATTTTCTTTTCTTTTTTCTCCAAATCACTCAATCCAAACATAGCATTAAGGTTTGATTTGATTTGGTTTGGTTTGATTTATTAACCAATCACATCAACAAAAATATCATTAAATTCAAAAAATAAGTTTACAAAATGAACTTGTATATATATTTTTTTATTTTTAATTGCTTGAAAATTTGTTTCGAAGGGACATTTCTAAGTTAAATGTTTTTTTGTGAAATTACAATTGAGGGTGTAAGACCAAAAAAAAAATTAAGAGTGATGATAGAGAGTACTAAATTTAGAGTTCTAATGTCAACTCTAGTGATATGACAATACATAAAAATAAAAAAAAATAAAATACAACAATACAAGTCAAAATATCGAATCATAAGATAGGACTTACCTCTAAAACTCCTCATTTAGAAGTCTCAAACATTTTTGAAAATTTAAACATTGCGGGTGCAATTCATTTTGTGATACTCAAACACTGGGAGGGTGCAATTTTGAATTGCACTCCTACATGTTTGTGCAATTTGTCTGTTTCACTGAACTACAATTCTCTTATTTTTTTTAAAACTGTTTTGAGTTTTTTTCCTTTTTTTTTTTTTAGACTTTGATGATTTGTTAAACTTTTTAAGTATATTTAATGAATGCTGCTATTAGTATCTTATTAATTATTTTAAATCTTTTATTTCTTTGAATCCCTATTTGTAAATTGTAAAACTTTTAAATTTTCTTTTATTCTCATAAATAATACCAAAATTATCCTTATAAAAATATTTCACCCATTCAAGTACACACCCTCACATCCCAAAAAGTCTCTATCTCAAAGCCCTAACAAAACCCACGACGATGGAATCTCCCAAAACTAATAGAAAAAATTTGTGTGATTAAAAAGTTTTTTCTCTGCTTCATTAAAAAGTTTGTCAATCTATTTGATTTTTTTTTCTATTACCTCTTTTCACTCACACACAACACAATCCACTTTCATGCTTCTATGGTTGGTTTTCTATCATTCATTTATGGCCTCACTATACTTGTATACTCTTTGTGTGATCAAAACTAAACAAGATTTCATCCCCCTTGGTCGACCACCCAAGGGTGGTCCGACTTCCTTTGTTTGCCTACTTCTGCTGCTGCTTCAGTTATTTGTTTTCAAACAAATAAACAATGTTCGAGCTTGTATTCTTGAATTTCGATCATATGTTCGGGAGTTCAGTTCTGAAAAAAATGACGAAGAGTTTTTACTATTTCGTCATTTTTTTCAAGAAATTTACTATTACAAGGTCAATCTCCTCTGAGTTAAGAATACCATCAAAGTTATGAACCTCTTATAAGCTTTTATTGTTGCACTCATTTCGTCTCATAGAGTTGTGGTTACTGAAAAAACTTTCACTCATTGTTATTGCCGAAAAAGTGTA